TAATGGTCCTACCATTTTAATTTGTGATTATGTCTTCTGAATGGATTGGTACTATATGTGCACTGGGGAACAAATATACTTAGGTCTAGCTGAGGTAATGAGCTGACACTACTAACTAGTGCGCAAAACCTGCTTATTTTACAGTTGCTTTGCCAACCCACTTCTACCCTCTGCCACATTTGTTCTGTTGCTTCTTGTCCTAAGCCTAGACTATGAGCCTTTTGGGGAAAGGGACTGTCTTCTGATTACTGCTCTGTAGAGCACTTAGCACAGTGGGGCCCTTAATTGGGGCCCCGAGGTGCTATTTTAACACAATTAATAAATAAAATAACGATAATAATATACTGCTTTAAAAAGCGTTAGCAAAAAGGAAGATTAAAATAAAAAGATGAAATTAGTGTCTTAGGTCAGTTGTAATAGGTAATAATGCAATTAATGAGGTAGCCAATTTAATAAAATCAAATTAAAATATGTAGGAGTATTCGGTATCTTCTGCTTGATACACATGCTCACAGGACTTATGCGTAGGCACTGAAAGAAGACCCTACACTGTATCATTAAAAAAAAAAATCTGGATTTGCTGCACACTTCCTGTGTGAGCTTGGGGAAATTTCTTCCCTGCTTTGTCTGTTTGCCCATCTGTAATAATACTTACCCAGCTCACAAGGTTGTTGTGAGGGGTAATTAATAAGATTGTACAGTGCTTAGAGGTTCTGGATGGAAGTACTATAAATAGTCAAAGACCTATAGAAGAAAGTAAAACCTTGGCAAAGACAAATTTTCATGTTCCCTTGATTTATTTTAGTGGTCCACTAAACCCTATACACTTCTTGTTCCACTAGTGCCATCCCATCCCTCCCAGGGAAGCCGTGAGTCACACAAGAGTCTAACAAGATAGAAGCTTTAGTATGGCTGAACGTGAATTTTGCAATTCCAGCAACTTTGTGAATCCGCATAATGCCCTTGGGCTGTTGGGCTGTACAATGGCATGGTGCTCATGTGCTATAAAGAGGATTATCATGGGATGTTTGGCAGGGCTGGACTTGGAGACAGTGCCACAAGCAATACTAGGTCATAATGTGCCCTCTCTGAAATCAGAGATAGAGCCTGCATGTGCTTCAGACGGCTGTTTGGAATGCCTTCCTAGGCTGAATATCTGGGTCCTTGCCTTGAATTAATGCAAGTCAGTGAAAGAGAGAATATTAAAGAACAGCAACACCAGCTATGATGAGACAAAGCAGCAAACCCCCATTATGTACATTGGCTGTTCTGGAATGTAGTTTTTGGAAAGGGAGGAGGTGGGTATGCTTCCTAGAACCAGAGGTGGAGTAGGGATTTGTGGGGCCCTGGGCCAGAGCAAGTTGGGGAAAGGGCCCTCTCCACCCCTTCTGCCTGCAGTCATCACCCCTTTCCCCCTCCCTCCCGGCACTCCGGGTCTTCTACTCCAGTCCCCTGCGCTCAAGGCAGGACTAAGTAGTATCTTTCTAGACCATCCCTGACAGATGATTGTCTAACCTGCTCTTAAAAACCTCCAATGACGGAGATTTCACAACCTCCCTAGGTAATTTATTCCAGCACTTAACCACCCTGACACTTAGGAAGTTTTTCCTGATGTCCAACCTAACCTGCTCTTGCTGCAATTTAAGCCCATTGCTTCTTGTCCTATCCTCAGAGGTTAACAAGAACAATTTTTCTCTCTCCTCCTTGTAACAACCTTTTATGTACTTGAAAACTGTTATGCCCCCACTCTTAGTCTCCAGACTAAACAAACCCAGTTTTTCCAATCTTTCCTCATAGGTCATGTTTTCTAGACCTTTAATAATTTCTGTTGCTCTCTGTATCTCTGTTTTCCACTCTTTTTATGGGCCAGATTTGAAATGGTCCTGATTTTAATGTGGAGCTTTTTTTCATCAAGCTTAATGCCAGAAGAGAGCACTGTGATCATCTAGTCTGACCTCGTGTATAACCCAGGCCATTTAGAAGTACCATTGTTTTCCAGTCTGCTGCAGTGGCTTCCTCAAGATATATAGTATGTTAAATATCTAAGATACACAGACTCACCATGTCCCCCCTCCCCAGTCCTAACAAACATCCACTTTTCTACAAGAAGGATATAAACAGAGACCAGATTAGCTTTCCAAGAGAATCCTGAAACCAGAATCTATCAGTAGCAAGTTACGTTTCCTGGCGCTAGAGACACTGTGGGGCAGATTCACCACCAGAACCTAGCAGAGCTCAAGTGCAGTGGGGACACAGGACCATCAGGGCGCTGGTTGTGGCTCCCTAATCTGAGCTGCTTGGCCCTGGAGCAAGTTAGTCATCATCATCGGCGATCCCTCAATAGCTCTAATGTATGGCACTGATGGAAGGTTCTTTAGGGAGTCTGCTCTGCCATACCCTTTTCTCTCCCCAACCCTGGCACACCCCCAACACAACGTCTTCCCTCTTTCTGTTGAGGGCGAGGGATGGCTTGTGCAGGGTGTGGCAGAGCCCTCTTCGCTAGCTTTCCCCGAGTGCAGGTTCCTCTGCACAATGGGAATTCTCCATCGGCCACCCCTGCAATTTGAAATTCACTTTGCACCAGACAATCCAGCCCTTAATTTTGTAAATGAAAACTGAGATTATGCAGCACGAGATGGCAGCCTTTATGGGCCAATCCACACGGGAAGTGTTATAGTGGTATGACTACAGAGGTTTAAACTCACATCACACCTTACTTTATAGTGGTATAAGTCCTTATGTAGGTCCTAAGACAGGTACTGGTTTGCAAAGCTGCTGTGCAGTGCATCGGAATGATTCCGGACTGGGGAAGGGAGAAACTGTCAATCTGCCATTCAGCTGGATCAATGTAAATGATTTCTTCTCCTCTTTGTACCTCCACAGCCCTCTATTTATGGTAAAAATCACCTTTGGTCTACATGTTCCCATGGGAACCATGATTCCCCTCCTCTCCCTGGCTTGGGTAAGCAATCCCACCTCTTCCTCAGCTGCTGTAGCAAGAGATCCTCCTGATGTGTAGGGGTGGAATATGAATGTGGATGTGAAGGTGCAACTGAGAGAAGGGGGAAGACACACAGTTGTAATGGGAATGTAGGAGATACATGGGTGTAATGTGTGCGTGTCCAGGTATGCCTGTGTATAACTGGTATGTGTGTGTATGTGAATGCTCACATGCACATGGGTATGGTGGGGAGCAAAGAGATGCATGGGTATACCCTGGTATAGTAGGAGGTGTAACCGGTATGTGTACAGGTATAATGGAGGCGTATGGTTGTACCTAATGCAAACAAGGTATAGAGTGTGTACAAATATATGAGGATGTATGTGTGTAACCGATGTGTGGGTGCGCACAAGTATACTGGGGAGGTAACTGGTGTGCTTTCAGATATAATGGGGGTGTATAGGTATAACTGGGGTATGTGTGTTTGTAGAGGAGGTGTAATTGCTGTGTGCACAGGTATAATGGGTGTGTATGGGTGTAACCAGTATGTGTATATTGTGTGTGCACTAGTATAGCAGGCATGTAATTGGTGTGTGCACAGGTATAATGGAGGTGTATGGGGGTAACTGGTGTGGTAACTGGTGTGTTTGTGCTCACAGGTATAGCCCATGTGTAACCAGCGTGTGTTTGTGTGTGCGCAGGTATAATGGGCTAGTGGAGGTGTAACCGGTGTGTGCACAGGTTTAGTGGGGCTCTGGGGTGTAACCCATGTGCATGCGCACACATGTAGCTGGGATATAACCGGTGTGTGTGCACACAGGTGTAGCGGAGGTGTAAATGGTGTGTGTGCACACACGTATAGCAGGGTGTGGGGGTGTAACCAGTGTGTGTGCACATGGTTATAGCAAGGCTGTGGGATGTAACTGGTGTGTGTGTGCTCAAGTGTAGCTGGGGTGTAACTGATGTGCCCACAGATGTACCTGGGGTGTAACGAGTGTGTGTGAGTGTGCACACAGGTATAGCAGAGATGTAACTGATGTGTGTGCACATACATGTATAATGGGGTTGTGTGAGGGTGCACAGGTATAGCGGGGGTGTAACCCACATGTATGTGCGCACACAAGTATAGCAGAGCTATACTGGCTCATGCTGGTGTGACCCAGGTATGTATGCACAGGTACAGCGGAGATGTAACCAGTGTGTGGGTGGTTGTGTAACTGGTCTGTGTGTGCACAAAGGTGTAGTGGGGTGTAGGTGTGTGGGGGTGTAACCGATCTATGTGTGTGCACATAGGTGTAGCTGGGGTGTAACCGAGGTGTGTGTGCACACCCAGGTATAGCTGGGGTGTAACTGGGGTGTGTGTGCACACAGGTGTAAGGGGGTGTAAGTGCATACAGGGTATAGCAGGGTGTAACTGGTGTGTGGTGTGTGTGTGTGCACACAGGTATAGAGGGGTGTTACCGGGGTATGTGCGCGCACAGTTGTAGCATGGGTGTTACCGGGATGTGTGTGCGCACAGATGTAGCTGGGGTGTAAGTGCATACAGGTATAGCAGAGTGTAACTGGTGTGTGGTGTGTGTGTGTGCGCACAGGTATAGCGGGATGTAACCGGGGTGTTTGCGCACACAGGTGTAGCACGGGTGTTAGCGGGGTATGTGCGCGCACAGGTGTAGCACGGGTGTTACCGGGATGTGTGTGCACATAGGTGTAGCTGGGGTGTAACCGGGGTGTGTGTGCACACCCAGGTATAGCTGGGGTGTGTGTGCACAGAGGTGTAGCGGGGTGTAAGTGTATACAGGCATAGCAGGGTGTAACTGGTGTGTGTGTGTGTGTGTGTGTGTGCGCACACAGGTATAGAGGGGTGTAACCGGGGTGTTTGCGCACACAGGTATAGAGGGGTGTTACCGGGATGTGTGCGCACAGGTGTAGCTGGGGTGTTACCAGGGTGTGTGCACACAGGTGCGGCGGAGCGCAGTCTGGCCCTGCCTGTACCTGCGGGCTGCCCTCGGGCTGGGTTTCCCGCAGCAGCGCAGGTGACGGCTCCGCGCGGGGACCGAGCAGCAGCAGCGCCGGTGAGCAGCCGCCCAGCGCCCAGCGCTCAGCCGGGAGGGCAGGCGGCTGCAGCAGCCTCCAGCGCCCCTAGCTCCGCCCTCAGGGCCGTCCCAGGTGCTCCCGCTCTTGGCCCGGGCTGGAGCCGCCGAGAACCTCCGCTCTGCTCAGCTGCGCGCAGCCCCGGGGAGCCCTGCACGGCTCGGGCTGGTACCTCCGCCCCGCCGGGTCCCTGTGCTCCTGCCCTCTAGCCCGCCCTCTGCAGCCGGCGCTGTCTCAGGCTGCGCCCAAGGTAAGAGCGATCGCGGCTGGCCGGGCTGCTCCAACTTTCCCCGGCCCCTCCGAAGCGTGGGGCGCCGGGCAGCAGGTGCCCGTGCTGGAGAATCCCACCCGCTCCTCTGGGCGCAGACCCGGGCGAGACGGGGCTGGACCCCCCCCCCTTTCCCCCAGCCCTACAGGCAGCCTGGCATGGTCAGGAGGGCGCTGATTGCCCAGCGGGCTCGGGCATGGCATGGAGGTACTGGGTGTATTTCAAACCTGGGGCACCGGCCCCTGTGAAACAACAACCCGCGAGACGCTTCCAAAGCTGCCACCGCCCCCCAGCAGAACCGCAGAGTGCGAAGCCCCCAGGGGCTCTCTGCTGCAGGAGGTGCTGGGACCCTGGAGAACAGAACTGCAGCCAACGCGCTGTTTGCTAAAACTGCCCCTTTTCTGAACCGAATGGCCAAAAAAACCCAGTGACTCCTGGCAGCCGCTGTATTTATTGCCAACAGAGCTGAAAAGAAGAGTGTGATTTAACTTCCAGAGTTCTTAAAGGATGTTATCTAGTCTCCTTGCTCTCTCTTCCTAGGGGCTATTTTTAATTTAACACAGACCCTCTGTATTTCCCCTTCCGTTAGGTACTATTATTACTTATGTCTGGTAGTGCCCACACTGTACTTAGATGCTTTCCTAGCAGAAAAGCAATCACGGTATTACATGTATATGGAGACTGCCCCATTCCTATAAAAGAAGGCGTTATCTTGATATGGTGAAAATGTTCTACTAATAATGCAACAACTAACAAATACTAGAGTGTAGAGTTTGAGCAGGATTAAGAGTGAAGTCTGAGTTATTTTATCAAAAGGAAAGGCAGCTTAGAAACCCCCTATATGGTGCCAGGTCTTGGGATTGTGCAGCATTAGTGTGTGTGTGTGTGTGTTGTGTGTGTGTGTGAGATGCACCATTTGGGGCTGAATGAAGGATGAATTAAAGGAGTGTCTGCTCTAACTCTGACTTTCCTTGCTTACTTGCCTTCTACTGTATACCTGATTTCCCCCCATTTTTAAATTAATTTGCTTAATTTGAAACAGTTATAAAGAGAAAATGGGGAAAGGAAGGAGTGAAAGGAAATCCAGGGGTGCCAATGTCACTGCCTTGTGCTTCTGTTTTAATCCATGCTATAGAGATGTTGTGATGTGTATGGATAAGCACTGAGATTTGGTACACCTGGATGATGTCCCTGTTATCAATCCCAATGTGCTACGGTGCTGATTGAAAGTAGGTTCCAGAAGGATTAACACCATACATTGTGTCAATGACACATTCTTTGGGCTGAGAATTTCTATGCCAAGTTTAAAACCCAGGTGAGCATTTTTGAAGTTATAAATCGTAAACAAAGGGTAGTCTGGGAATAATGTAACACAATACAATGTACTGAATTAAATATATAAAAAATAATAATTCTTTAAAGAGTCTATTGGGACATGGTGACTGATGAATTGGAATAAATACAGCTAGGATGACTTTGTAATTTTTTTTTAAAGATATTGCTTGATGAGTTCTATATTTAGTCCTGTAGTCCTTACTGCAAGCAAAATTTCTATTGAAGTCAGAGGAAATTTTGCCTGATTAGGGACTGTGGGATTGGACTACTTATAATTTTCTGTAATACTTATAATATTAAGGGGAAAAACTCAAAAGTGATGTAGAAAAAAAAAGTGTATTTATATTCCAAAATGGAAAAAAGTGTATTCCGAAATGGAAAAAAGAGTGAAGGCTGAAATAATATACTTTAGCTGCAAAAATTCTGCAACTTCAAAAAATTCCAGATATTGGAAAGTCTGGAAACAAACAGTTAAGGGATCACTTAACTGCTTTCCCACTGCTATGTAATCATTCAGCAATTTTTGTCATGCCACATGATTTTCCCTCTTGTCCAATCTTAACTCCCCTCCCTAACATTTTCAAAAAAATGTAAAAGTGAAACACCTCAAACTACTAAGAGACGTAAAATCATGTTTTCTGTTTGAGAGGAATAGAATTTCTCTCACTGTTGCACTGATAAGATTCATTATTACTTGCTACAAAACATATGTATGTCTACCGTTACACAATACAGTTAAAAATACAAACTTGTAAACTCTCTCTATATGCACATTAATCTGCAACAGCATGTAATAGCACACTGTATAAAACAAAACAGATCAATCATTCCAATTCTATTCATAAAAATATTCTTCTATTCTACCAACCATTTGATCAAAAATGTATGGCACTCTGCCATGGCTAAATGCACTCTGAAACTATATTCCTTTCAAAATCTTTGCATTTAATATACATACATAAAAATCAACAATAGGCATCCAGCAACATATTTCCATTACCGAACCAAACAAGAGAAGAAAGTTACGCTGGGATGGATGATAGAATGAAGAAGAATTTATAGAGAGTGAGGAAGAGTATGGATCTCTTAACTGTTCATTTCCAGACAACTGAGTTAGAAAACTGGGTTTATAATGGGAAGCAACTTCAGCTTTGACTATGGGGTGGCTACTGGAGCTTCACTTCATGATCTACTGGCCTACACAAATGAACTGAGAAACTACCAGTTTTCTAAGGTGCCACAAGTCCTCCTGTTCTTCTTTTTGCGGATACAGACTAACACGGCTGCTACTCTGAAACCAGTTTTCTTGTGCAGCTTCTGACTCACCCGGTCCAGCTAATCACCTGTATTAGAGACATGCTCTTAATCAAAATGCAACAAACCCCCTATTTTTCAAGTTTTTTCATGCATGTTATCATCACGTGATGTCTGATATTATTATCCTGTAGGATCAAAGGCAATGTCACACTAAAATTAGAACAAATCTTCTGGTTCTCTTTTGGAGAAAATTAAAAAATAAGGCCCAGTTCTGCAAGGTACTGAGCATGTCTTGGGAGGGCTACATGTTCTCAAATCCACTGACTTCCATAAGAGTGGAGGAGGCGCAGCCCCCAAGGCTCAGAGGCCTGATTCTGCATCCTATAATTCAATGGGAGTTTTGCCACTGGATTCCAATGGCACAAGATCAGACCTATATACCTCTATGTGCAGGAAATTAAACAAGCGGTTTCTCCTCTTTATGGTTATCGAGGCTCATTACCATGTAAAGTGTAGTATACGTTTTTACCCTGACCTTGGAGTAATCGCTGTCTTTAAGAGGCTGTTATACCAGGGCAATTTATAATAATGATTTAAAGCAGATTAATGTAATTGGCAGGTAATCCAATTTTATAATCAAGTTTGTCTTGTAATCTTCACAAAGCTGTACTGCACTCTTTGCTTGAAAATGTATTGGTACTAAATTGTGATGAATTGATGCCACATGGCGCTTTTAGTTCTTAGTAACGCAGCCATAGTTCCTCCCCCTGCTTCCAAGGCATACCTTCTTTCAGGCATCACAGTCCTTGTAGAATACTATCTGTTACTATGCAGTGTACTCAGCATCAGGGCAATTGCCATTTTAGGTGGGATCTCATAACATTCAGGTCAATTGATTGTTCATGTTGTGAAGTAGGCTGTTGTGTTGTGGTTGTCGATCAGTTTTTCTTTAAATAGTTCTGGCTTAGAAATTATGGTATTAAATATTTTGGGACATTTCTCAATATTAGTAAGAGCCAGTATTAAACTATAACTCTGCCCTGTAAAAATGTATACAGAGTCCCAGGGAACTCCATGCATGTCTTCGGAAGCTTGTTCAATTCACTGTAATTTAGTTGAGTTGTCATCACCCACTGTCAGGAAATATTTGAGCTTTGGCATCAAGCAGAGAGACTTATTCATCCCATATATTTGGGGGGTATTATATGATATATTTGGGGACTAATAGAATATGGGAGGTGTCAGGACTCCTGGACTTCTATTCTCACCCTGTCATTGGCTTGCTGTATGATGTTCAACAAGTCCTTTAATTTCTCTGTGCCCCAGTTTCCCAGTCTGTATAAAAGGGGAGTATAATTATATTGTCCTTGCATGTTTGTGTTTGTTGTGTTTAGTGCTGATCCGTCCATAGAGTAAAACACAGTCCCCACCCTGAGGCATTTATAATCTCAGAAGACGAAACTAATTAACAGTTCACCTCAAAAGCACTGGGTTAGCATGTCATGGAGATGCAGAGTGGTGCAAGAGATTGATTTAGTTCTTGTTTTTAGCATTTAATACATCATAGGATTTCAAATGCAGGTCAACAGAGATGGGCCTCTTGAAATACGTGCCTTTTGCTCAAGGATAACATTTTCAAAAGCACTCAAGTCCCATTGGCCTTTGTGAAAAGTTTAACTCCATGCCTTCTGGAAGAAGTAGTATTTTAAGAGGATTCTCGTTCACTATAAACACTGAACATCTTTCCATACCCTCGAGTACAAACTGTTCAGTGTTAGAAATAGCCATTCTTCTCAACTGTTCCACCCAAGATTATTCCCTGTCAGAAGGGCCAATGATAGTGCACGGGGTGAGAGTTTAATAGTGTTTCTTTGCACTGCTTAGTAATAGAACATACAAGTTCAAAGCCTTTCAGGCTATGCTACAGGTCAGTTCAACGATGAAGATCTCAGATTGTAGCAAAAGATGTTGGAACCCTTACTGTGTTAGTTAGAGAAGAGACACGTTCTGCAAAAGTCCTGAGGGATGATCCTACAAGCCAACCTTTCAGTAATCAGATGGCTGAAAGTACATATGTTGTAACCCCCTGATAATTCCAAATATAAAAAAATAATCCCCCATTAGTCCATTCTTTGCAATTTTGGGGTTTTGTCTCTGCTTGAAACACATTTCTGAATGACTTTTTTATACGTTGTGTGAATTCTGTTGTCATCGCTGATGAAAAATGTGATTAGCACATGTGACTGTATCGGACTAGGATAGTGCAGCAAAAAAATATAATTTCTCAAATTATACCCCACTAAAGAAAAGTTATTGCTATTCCAAATATACAAAGGATTCTTACAAAGAGATATTTGTGAAACTAACTCAAATACATCTTAGATTATAATAATAATAATAATAAAAAATCTATTCAACCGCTGGATATTTCACTGTGCAAACAAGTAAAATTCAACTCCAGGTATGATTTCTACTTTCGACATGTCTGACAACAAGGACCGTCCTCCTGCACTGCTGGCATGACAGCAATAGCTGAGTCCAGGAGCTGCTACACAAACATAGCTCCAGTCTAGATCCACACCCCTCGGAAATTGCTTGGTAGGGAGCAGTCTGCCCCTTTAAAGATACCCTCCATCCAAGGCTGGATTAAGGCATAGGCACTTATAAACCCATGCCTAAGGCTCCTGTCACATGATGAGGTCAGAATTTCAGTTTTCAGTGTTATTTTTTTCAATTGAAAGTTTCTAGACCTCATGATTGTGAAGAAACACCCTCAAATGTGACCTGAGTATAACTGAGCAGTGTGAACTGTCCTATACGTCGGAATGGGGTATTAATCCCATGACCCACTGCTTTGGGAGGTACTGCCAATAGGGCTCTGGGACAGGAGGAGGAAAATGCAGCAGGCCCTGCCCTCTCACCCAAGTAGACACAGTCTGACTGCTGGGGTAAGTACTGGGAGAATCCCCACTGCCATCCCCTGCCTCTCTAGGTGAGGAAGGGGCCCCTGCTGCTCCTTCTAGGGGAGAGAAAGGGGCCTCATGGTGCTGCCTGTATTTCTCTGGGATAGGTGGGGCCCTCCTGCCAGCACCACTACAAGTGGAGTTAGTCACGAGGGGGTCCATACCATGTGTGCGTAGGGCTCTGGATTGCTTTATTCTGGCCCTGCTCCCACCTCACACCCACAAAGGAGCACAGCAGGCTGGCTTAGTTGCTTCCTCCCCACCAGCGGGAGCAACTTCAGGGAAGGGTTAAATGTCGGTTGTAACGTAACTGCCTTATCCCAAAAGTCAGTGTGAGAATTCTCAGGGATAGAATATGCAGCGATCATATAACACTTCATCCATGGAAATCAAAGCCCTTCACAACAGATCCTAGGTAATGTTATTCCTGTTGTACAGCTGGGAAACTAAGGCACCAAGAGTGCAAGTGACTCAGCCAAGGTCACACAGCAGGTTGTAGGCAGAGTTGATAAAACCCGGGTCTCCTGACTCCCATGCAATAATTGGAGCACATTGCTTCCTATTGCACAAGTTAAAGTTATTTCCCATAATCCCAATCTCTCAGTGAAGTGGGGCGCTGTCTTTTGTAATAATGCCACTACGCCAGTAAGTGATTTTTAAGCTCCCATTCTGTGCCAGTAACTCTGGTGTTTTACGTTTTGAGGCTGCTCCACAGAACTTCCTTATTCTCTAAAACAATAATTTAAGATTAGATAAATCTAATTTAGATTCCGAAGAGTCGGGTCAAGACTGAGGCTGAAAAAAATGACAATCACCATGTTATTTTGAAAATTGCTTTTAAAGAGATCTGAAAGAGGACGAATTTTTCAGCAACGCTTTGTTGTAGCAACGTTTGATGCAGTAAGGATGAGTAGGCAGGGGAAGGAAGATTTCGAAAACCCTTCCTTCTTCTAACTTCATGTCCAGGAATTGCAGGAGCAGCTGATGTCAGATATTTATCCGCTCTTGTTCCCTTTGACATTGGTTAATAAACATCTTGAGGAAAATGGGGAATATGTATATAGGGAAGTGTGATCTAGCGCCCCCATTATACACAAAATTAGAACCTGTGTCTAGGTGAACTATCAGCATAAAAATATACAATTCGGTCATCAAATAGGTTAAAACAGCAGAAAATAAATTCTCCTATGTGTGCAAACTGGAATAAATTCAGACCTAAGAGTAAGTAGATGCAAATTCATTACATTTTACATCAGGTCTGAATTTGCCCCCACATTAAAACAGTTTCCCTAGTGCACCGGTACAGTATAAAGTCAAACAAGATATGGGGGGGATGGTGTTTTTCCCTTTACTCCTAGGGAGTTCCATCAGAGATACATTTGGCCTCTATGTTTAATTAGAAGTAAGAGAGGGCCAAATTCTGTTCACTACCACTAGTGTAAATCTGTAACTATTGACTTCAAGTATTATTTTGTACTTAGACCTTCTGTAAGTGGAGTAGCAACCACTTTTGCCAAGTCCTACTATATTTGGTCCTTGTAGCAGGGTAATGGATTAGAATTTGACCCAGATAATGTGCAAAACCAAATTTATATATGGATGTATTTCAAGGTTTTTTTCTTCTTGGTTCAATTTGTTTCACTGCCTGTCTGCAAGAAACATACCATGATTCCCCTTATAGATGTCAAGAACTTACCTGGAGGGTCAGATTTTTGGTTATATAACCTAGACTGTGTCCCTCTAATCATGTTTGGGTTTGTTTAGTTTGGAAAAGAGAAGACTGAGAGGGGACATGATAGCAGTTTTCAGGTATTTAAAAGGGTGTCA